TCACACCTGTTGTATCTTTGCGCTTGTTTCTCTAGCTGTTTTTTGTTGGTATAGTTGTCCTAATGTATCTCAGTAGAGTCAGCTTCGTGCCATCTCTACGGTGCCCTAAAATTGCTTTAGTTATAATGAGCAATAATTGTTGTCTTGGTTTCATTTTATTATTTCTCTTTTCCCACTGTCAAACATAAAATCCTATTTCCCACAGGCATATTTTCTCTGCACCAAATGCCTTTTATGTTTATCAGAATAAATAAGTCTTGCCTGAGCCCGGTACAATTAAGCAATCTGGTCAGCGGGTGGATTCCCATCGGGTTCTTCCCGGTGAGAGGCAGGGCCCCCCCCACCTCATCTCAGCTGTTCTGTCTTTGTGTCTGTGGAGTCTTTCAGAAAACACACTGTTTGAATCCTATTTTTCGTGTTTTTCATGGGATAAATTTCTATCCCTGATAATTCTTCTGTACAAAGTAAGAATTTCTTGTTGAAGAAAATCTGGAAAATGAAGGAAAACATAGAAGCATGGAAAAATTCACTCAGCCTCAAAGGACAGATGTACCAGGAAAGGGGCAAAGAAAAGGGAGTCTTTAATAAAGACCCTGCAGGGAGCAGAGTTGAGCTCAGCTCTGCAGACCGGGCAGCAGGAGCTGCCCAGTGCGGGCGAAGCCCATAGAGAAATGCTGTGGGAAGAAGCAGGTCCTTGAGCCTTGATCCAGGTCCCCCCTACGTCATGCCAAAGGTGGCAAGGTGCCATCCCCTCCAGGCTCTTATTTCATAGTGACTCCCAAGTCTTTCCAGGGTCTGGAAACTTGGAAGAGGCAAGAGGAGGGAGAAGCAAATGTCTCAAAGGGATAGAGGCAGAGTTCACACTGAAAAGGTTTTCCCGAGTCAGTGCTGTGGGAAAAGCAAAGCGGCAACCAGGAGGTAGGGAGAGGCCAGCCTCGAGGTCAGTGGCCCTGAGTGTTAAGACCCTTTGGGTGTGGTCCTCCTCCTCCATGAAATTAATCCTCGTGCAGCATTTCCCCCACCTACTTGTAAGTTTCTTCATTGACTAAAATATTAAAAAAAAAAAAGTGATCACTTCTCAGAACTCAAAGGAAGTGAAGCCAACCTCATGCTGCTGTAAACTGAGCACTCCCTGGGTTTCCAGCAAACTTGCCCCTATGTGGGACCCGCACTTGTCTCTGTGTACGTGGTCCTGCTTCCTGGAGTACGGAAGGGACAGGGGGTTGGAGGTGGACGTGGACAGTGAGAGCCAAGGTTATGAGAGATGCTTTGCATGACCTTCCCCTCCCTGTGGAGGTCAGGGCACCAGAGCATTCACGGCGTATGCACACAGTGGCCGACAACTGGAACTGTAAAGCATCATGATGCAGGCATAACACATAGGATGCACCTGTGGAGTCAGTTTCCTGTCCCTGGGACAAGAAAACCAACCCCAACAGCCTAAAGGAGAAGAGGTTTATTTGGCTCCTTGCTTCAGAAGCTTTGATCCATCATCAGCTGGCTACAACGTAGGAATGTCACACAGAAAATCTTTTGGAGGAGAACTGCTTATATAATGGAAGGAAGAAGACAGAGAGAAAAAGAAAGAGCCAGGGAGAGAGACTTGGCGTCCACATCCACATCCAGGGACCCTCATTCCTCCAGACTCTGCCTCTAAGCACGCTGTCAGCCGTAGACTCCAGTGCAGTGGTCCTCCAAGCATGGTCCACCTTGAGCCAATGAAACCCAACTCCAAGCACATGAGACTGGGAGGGCGTTTTAGATCAAAACCATAACAGCATCAGAATACAACTAACAAATTATTTGGAATACGTCAATCCTGAAAGATATAAAACCAATGAGAGACATGAGCAAAGATCAGAATTACCTAGGATACTGTGCCTGTGGGTGACAGGATTCAACATTATTAGTGTTTCAGCTTTTCTCAAGTTGCTTTATCAATTGAAAGCATTAATCATTCTCCAAAAAGCATTTCTACAAAAATTGACAGTGGATTCTAAAATTTACATGAGAATACTACGGACTTCAACTAACCAAGGCAACTCTGAAAAAGAAGACAAAGTTTAAAGACTCATTCCTGGATGGCAGCAAGGTCAGTGCATTCATTAAAATGGAGCGGTACTTGTGTAAGGATAGATGTATGCAGTGGTGCCCACTGGAGAATCCTGCAGTGGACGGACACACACACACACACAGAGCCAATGGTGTGGGGGAAAAGTTTTTTTTTCTAAATTTCTGTGAGACACTTAGACAGCAATGTGCTAAGATAATGAGCCTTGATTCATATGCAGCATCGTAAGCAAAACACCACACACAGAGGGTCATAGGCCTAAAGATGCTGCAGGAAACAAGGCAGTTTTTAGGATGCAAACCCAGGAGCCAGCCTCGGTGACTTGGGGCTTCTAGGTAAGGCTGAGGAAGCACAAACCATAAGACAGAAAGCTTGTTCTCAGAGACACAGTCATGGAAATAAAAATGATAGCAACACCAAGCGGAAGAAAGTATTTGCCCAAGTCCATGTCAAAGAAAAGACTTGATACGGAATACAGATTCTCAATAATCTAAGAACAAAGAGTCCAACAAACAGCGCTCAAAGGATGTCCACCGACATTTAACCACAGAAAGGAGAGCTCTTATGGAACCACAAACAACCCAGCGAGCTAAAGCAGGGTGGAGATAGAACAGAGCTGCAGGCCTCACACTGCTGTTTTCAAAGTGTGTAACAAAGCAGCAGTACCCAAGACAGGAGGGTACTGGCATAGAAACAGACAAAGGACAGCAGACCAGAAATCAAGCCCACACGGCCAGTCAGTCTTTCCACGCGCCCCTAGAGCCGAGCACGAGAAAGGACAGGCACTGCAGTACGTGGTGGTGGGAGGACTGGATATCCAGGTGCAGGAGACTGAGGCAGCCTGACACCCATCCAGACATTAAAATGAAATAAATAAAAGAAAACTTGGAGGAAAATGTCATCAGTCTTAGAAATGATGCTTTTGGATCTAACATCAAAAGTACAGGCAACCAAAGCAAAACTAAACAAGTGGGATGATTTTACACGAAAGAGCTGCACAGCAAAGAGATCTGTCATTAACATTAAAAGTCAACCTACAGCACTGCAGAAACAGGTGCCGCCATACACATGTTCAAGGTGAACATCCAAAACACACAAGGGGTTCACACCGCACAACAGCACAAGCTCAAACTCTCTGATCAAAGACAGGCATTCAGCCGAAATAGGTTCCCAAAGAAGCACACCAGTAGCCAATAGTTGTATTTAAAAAATACTGAACATCACCCACCATTGAATAAGTGTAAATTTAAACCATGTGAGAAATCACACACACATGCACACACGTGCCTGTTACGATAGCTGTTATCAAAGACAAGCAGTGACAAGTGTGGGTGGTGGTGTGGAGGAGGGGGGAAGGGAGCCTTGTAACCAGAGTTGGGGAGTAAACGCATGGGAAGCAGCAGGGAGGGTCCCAAAGAAGCAGATCTACCAGGGGACCCAGCAATATAGAGCTGAGAGAAGTGAGATCAGGATCGCAAAGAGATGTCTGCACCCTATGTCCATGGCAGCATTGTCCATGGCAGCCGAGAGGAAAGACAGATCTGCGGTTCTACCAGTGGATGGTGGGCAGAGAAACTGAGACAGATGTCTGTAACAGGGTATTGTTGAGCTGCCAAAAAAAATCTTGTTTGCAACAAATGACCAAACCAGGAAGGGATTGTGCTGTGTGAAACATTCCAGACACAGAGATTAACACTGCAGGGGTTCGCGCATGTGGGAAGTCTAGAGAAGCCAGGCTCTCAGGGGCAGAGTACAGACATTGTGGCCAGGGGTGAGGAGGACTTGGGGCCACTAGCTTTCCATCACAAGATGAGCAAGTTCTGGGGGACAGATGGGCGTGGGTGTGCTTTTCAGTGTGATCACTTACACAGTTGTGTCAATCATATTGGATACCTTGAATGTGTTCAATTTTTATTTATCTGTTGAGTATTTAAATTCAATGGAGATTACATTTAAGAGACACTAAAACCTTAATAGTAGTTGATTCCAGAGAGCACAAAGGGGATGCAAAAAATAACTCATGAGTATTTTGCTTACAAAGCTATAAAATTTTTAGCAAAAATCATTGAGATATGAATCTTGAAAGGGGATATATTACCTTATGTAAGTCTGACCTTAATAACCTTGAGATTTAAAGAGGCAAACAGTTGCATTGTGCTCTCACTAGAATCATAAGTAGCGTTGTAAACTACAGCAAGTAATTATGTTTACATATATTGGCTTGATTAAATATGCAGGCATTTCTGCTTACATGGTAACATTTGGGGAAATAAATTTTTAAATCCTATAGTAAAGCATTACAACACCAAGTCAACATTTATATTGTGTTTGTTTTTTATGCATGTTACAAAATATTGCTTTTCTTTTGACAATGAGCTCCATAGAAGACTATGACCTTTTATTTATTTTTGCCCAGTTTGAGCTGTGTGCAATTAATAAAATGTATTCTACCTGTGATATTTCAATCTGTAACCATTTTCCCTAATTCTTATATTACTGTTGTTCTTTCAGGACAAACTCAAGATTTAGGGTCTGTATTTAGACCCTAAATGAATTAAATTTTAATTGAATATATGATTGTTATGTATTTGCAGTCCATTTTCACATTTAAATATCTTGCTTAGTTCAGTCATGCATTTCAAACTTAGCTTTCAATTGCTTATTGATTTGCCTATTACAATTAAATATGTCTTTGTGAACATTTTCTTCTGGAGCTTAAATGACTATGATTTTTTTTCTCTTAGAACAAGTGAATGAAATTTGATATTAATAGAAAGCCTTACAGATTCTACACTGGTATTTTCTTCCACAGTTTCTAGAAACTCTTACCTGACTAGAACAACCCTGTGCCGGGCAGCCATCCTGCAGTTCTTGATTGATAGGATAATGTTAGAAGAAAACTAATTGTAGTATTGATTGTTTCCTGTAGCAGTCCCCTGGTACTACCAATAGCCAAGCAAGACAGTTTGTTGGAAAAAGACATCATGTTCAAAGACGCATCAAAAGGACCGTGTAAGCCACAGTCCCCGGACACCACCCCTGAGCACACCACGATGGACAGCTCCAGCAAACCTGAGCAGGTAATCGCTCATGGCCCTGGGGTGTTCCTGCATCACCTCACGCTGTGCAATCCAGCATATTTCAAAAGCAAATATCTGCTGCTTTCCATTCAAAGAAAAAATGAGGAATGCTTAGGCTGCCATTTTGTTTACGTTCCTATAGATAACTGGAGCATTGTATTGGTCACTGCCAAGCATAATTGCTATTGTGTTTTATACCCACTTGGATTTCAGTTTAACCTCCGTACCAGGAATATGGGCTCCGCTGGTTTGTTATTCTTACATGTTTCCAGGTGGGTCCTTTGTTCTTATTTTGCCTATCAGGTAGTCTGTGTCTTTCTGTGTCTCCAGCTATCCAAAAGCAGGCAAGAGAAAGAGCAAAGAGTCATCGACAACCATTTTTTTCTAGAAGTAATGAGCATGGTGGTCCGTGTGTGTGTGTGTGTGTGTGTGTGTGTGTGTGTGTGTGTGTGTGTGTGTATACGCACTTGTGCAGAGGTGTGCAACCAGGGACCACTGTGCTCAGGTTAAGGGAGATCATTTTGGAATTGGGATTATAGAAATGACTATATTTTCTTCTTTATTGCCACAGGAGCAAATGATTTTGTATGTTAAGTGTTTTGTAAATGCCAGCATAATCTGCATCCTTGACATGATTTTGTTTCTGTATCTCTAATCCTGAATACTTTAGTTTAGCTAGGATTTCTGAAAACAGTCTTCTCCAAATTAAATTTTAATTTCATTTTGATTGTCCCAGATAAAGAAAACTTTAAAATGTTCTTTTGTATTTTACATTTTTATTGGCATTGTTTGAAATATTTTTCATAATTAGCTTATAAAAACATGGGGAAGCTCTAAAGTTAATTTGATTTCCTACTGTTAAGATTTGCTAACATTAAAAAAAAAAAGCTTTCCTGATACAAGTCGAGCCATTGCAGCACTTGAAGTGAATTCTTATGTTTGAGTTTATTTTATGTTTCCATTGATGTGTCCTTAAGCTACGAATTATTTTTCAAGTTCAACAGAAGTTCAAAGACAACTGTTTATTTAATTAAAGATGAGCAAATTCAGCTTGAACCTTCCATCAAGGTTCTGAGGTTTTCACCTCCTGGAGTCAGAATGATTTCTCACAGGCAAAGGGATTGCTTTTAAATGGTAATTTAACACAATATTTTCAAAAAAATACATAAAACATTCTTCAAAACTGAGAAGGCTTCACAGCGTACCAGTAGCAATCCTCTCGGCTGCTTTTCTGTGGTTAATGTCAGTACTTAGTGTTGCATGCTAGACATAAAAATTACCGTAATAGTGTGCTGTTTATTCATCATGTGGGTGGGCACAGTGGTCCCCGGGGCTCAGGGTACAGTGCTCAACTCAGAACCATACGCGATGTTGGCCAGGAGAAGCAGCTGGACGGAATCTCGGGTGACACAGTGCGGGCGCTGCTGCATTACACTCTCTGGTCACACTGGGGCCTTGAAAAAGACTTCCTGAAGCTTACAAAGTGCTGATTCTCACTTTAAAAAGGAACTCATAGTGTAAAAAGAAATCTTTTAAATCAAAATAAAAACCATCTCTGCTTCCAGATTTTTGTAACATGTATGTCGTATCAAGTGGTGCAAATGAATATTTGAGATGGCTTAACTGCTTTCATAACATCCCTGAGGAAATAAGAGTTTTCATTTGCTGCTTAAAAATATACATGTCCCCTACGTCCCTCTTGTGCTCTGGTCTGCCCCTCTCCCAGGGCCCTGCCTTTTCCCATTTTATTTCTGGTTTCCTAACACTTTAAATTCTCTTTCATCCCTTTTTTCCTTTTCAGAAAATATACATTTCAATTCAGTTTAAGCTTGAAATTTAGGTACAAAATGGCTTGCGAAGCCTCACTTGTTTAGGAGGCTGGGATGATATGAGCTGGGTCGCTGGGGGCATGGCTGAGGGTCCTTCTCCCCCTCTGCTTCCTGGCCTCCTCTCTTGGCTTCCTGGCCTCCTCCTCTGCCTCCTGTCCTACTCCTCTGCCTGCTGGCCTCCTCCTCAGCTTCCGTCCCCCATTCCCTAAAGAGCTCTCTTGTGCCAGCTGCTTCCACCAGACTGTGATTCTACCTGGAGCCAGCAGACCATGCAAAGTCCGAGACTTCTAAAACATTAACCAGAATACACCTCTCCTTCAGTTTGGCAGTGCTGGGGATTTTGTTCCAGCAATCACCGAGTGTCTTAAAGAGTTCCATTGTAGACACATCGGCGTAAGAGTGAGAGAAGTGGTCTCAGGGCTCTGCGGGCTGGCTGTGTTTCTGCAGTTCTGAGATGCTGGGGCTCCTTACCTTCACTCAGCCTCATGGGTAAAGTGAGTCCTAGCGTGCACCTAATGTGGATACTGAGAGAACATCATGGGTGTGGCTGTCAGTTACCCACACTTATCAGAAGCAGAGTACACACAGCCAGGCGTATGCTTTACCTGTCCTGGAGTCCATTTGGACCGAGCAGACATTCGCTTTTGTCGTAGTGCAGCAGGGGTCTTTCTGCTTTTATTTCACGTCATACCAATCCATATGACTGGCCTTTATCTTTCCATGTAAATGTAGATTCTTTTAGAGAATACCAACACAAGATAATTCTCACAATGATGAATCTTTCAAAACCTAAAAATGTCTTCACCGGCAGTAGCGTAGTCCCCAAACTATTACTGTGAGCAGTGTAGGATCTGTTTTCAGTATTTAGGCTTGAATTTCAAATTGAGTTATAAATTGGTCCAAGTTAGGGGTATCCTGTCAGTGCTCACCACGAGGGTCCCTACTGCCCCATATTCAGGGCTCCTGTAGGGACATCAGAATGCCTCTGGCCCATCTCCTGTAGCCTGGGGACCTGTGACACTTCTGTAAAAAGGAGGGAAGTCTGCAGGCCTTGGTTCTGTATGCAGTAGATAGGTTTTGATGACCAGCAAGACTTGTTTCCCGGTAATCCACGGAGGCCCCCTCCCAAGGTGTGCGCTCCAACACACTGCTCCTCTGCCAAGCAAGGGATTTGTAAGTGACAGGGCTTGGTGAGGTCACCAAGAAGCAGGCAGCTAAGAAGCAGGAGGAGGGTGGGACCGTGGCAGAGCCTCATCAGCTTAGGAAGCTCTGCAGTGCTGGTTATATTACCACCCTGTCCTGCTGGGACCACAGGGGCACTTGGTCTTTCCATCTGCCTTCCTCTTCCCTCGCTACTGACCCAGGCTGGATTCTGCAGTTTCCCCCACATCAAGGGCCCCAGGCTGGTTGCCTCATCCTCTCAGTCAGCTCCTCTGCTGCCCGTTGAGTGTCTGATCCCAGATGTCTACTCGGGTCTCCCAGAGAGAAAATTCATAGGCAAAGGCAGAACAGAGCAGCAAATCCAGCAGTGCTGCCGCAGCCCACAGCCTCGTAAGAGAGGGGATGGGAGTCACAAGCTCGGTATAGTTCTGGACAAACTTGCCTCCGATCTTGAAACATTCATCAAAGTGTTTATGAGTTTTGCAGTATCTTTTGCATTATGTCTGCTTTGTGCTTTCGATTACTCCTTTTGGACAAATATATATAACAAAAAATCATAAAGATCAGTCCTAGGGAGATATGCACCCTTTTAAAAGTGTTTTTACCTGATATTGGCTTAGACTATTAGAATTGATGGTAGATATTTCTCACACACAGTATTCACTCCACGATTACAACAGAAATATTCCCGGGCATGGTCTCCTTTCTCCATTTGCTGTCAGCTGTCAACGTGCCTTTGCAGTCTTTATAAAGAACTGGTGCCTGAGACAGCCTTGCTTGAGACTGAGGAGTAAAGCTTCCTCACCATCACTGTGCAACCCTGGCAGGACTCAGTAAATGCCAGGATCCAGGCCCCTGCCCCGCAGCACACTGTTGGTGGCGTTTCCTCACTATCAACAGGCTGTGGGTGGTCACACTTTGTTGTCAGCCTCTTACTTCTCTTGCCCACCCACGTAGCAGCTGTAGTACTGAGGAGGAGACCCCGTGAGAATACCGAGGAGAAACCGTCAGCGTCCTCCCAGGCTGCTTGGAACAAAGGCGGACATCCGTCAGCAGCGCTGTGCCATTTCCAAGTGCGTGGGCAGAAGCCGGCATCGGGACTCTTAGCGATGTGCTTGGGAGGGGAATTTTATTCTCTTCCCATATATCAATCTCCTTGAAGAAAAAGTTTTGCTCTTGATTTCTCTCTTTTCCCAGATTGCCTTGGAAGTTAAACGAGTCAACCTGCTGCAGGTCCTGCCCTGCACTACAGTTTTGGCATTGTCTGAAGTTGTTGCAATCATATTAATCGCATTATGTTATATATGTGTGCATATTGTATATACATATTAATATTTGTGCCCATATAAACATGTGCACATACTACACTCTTAGTTTTGGGGTATCTATGAGTTGCTTGTTTTAATTCTTTGCAATAATATTTGCAAGTACATTAGAAAGAAAAGATCTTTCTGTTTACCTTAAATTGATAGAAGTCTCTTACCGTGTGTATCTCTATGTAAAGACTTGATCAACACTTGTGTCCCTCTGGAACAGATGCCCTTGCCCATTTGTGCTTATTTTTCTAGAATCATTTTTGTATAAGGCCAAGCATTTCTGTCAGTGATGCTAGGATCAAACTAAGTTATGCATCAGTACAAGGGCACCTCGTCTTGTCCCAGTTAATCCTAAGCAGGGAACCAAGTGCAGTGGAGCAGCTCACGGCTGAGTGTCTTAACTGTTCTTTCTCTGAATACACCAGGCGCCTGGGGCCTAGGCCAGCAGAGTCAGACTTTGTGTTGTTCCAACAAAGCAGGGAATTTCCCCATGGGCAAGGAACAAAGACAAGGGCACTGTTGTCTGAACCACTGTTTCTGCCTTCTCACCACTGAGACTCGATACCCTGCCATTGGAGGAGAAGTTTACTGTGGCTCACATCTTAGTCAGTCTGCTGGCTGCAGGGCAGAGGAAGACTACGCAAGGTGTGGTGTCCAGGAAGCAGATGTGTCCAGGGAGGAGCTGAGAAGGATAACAACCCCTTCTGAGTCATGTCCATGGGGACCGTCTCTTCTGACCAGACCCCAGCCTTTAGCAGCAGGCAGCACCAGTCCCGGGATCCAACCAGCTTCCAAACACAGGAGACACTGGGAGACATTGGAGATCTAAATCATAACAACTGGCAAGAAACAGAGTGAGTGATTATCTAACAGCCAAACCACACCAGGGCAGAGAAGGGTCTGTCACGGGGCTTTCAGCCTGTGGAAGAGAGATGCAATGGTTGACATACTGTATCAACTTGAGAAGTTTAGAAGTTTAAGAGACTCAGCAGCGGCCAGGGTCCTCACTGTGCTCTCCTCAGCCTTTTCCTCTGGCTGCTGCCTTGAGCAGTTGCCCCTGTGCCAGGCCACCCTGCCTTGGAGCCAGCTGAGTATGGACTAAAACCTCCACAAACAGGGAGCGAAATAAACCTTTCCTTCCTTTGTTTGGGGTGATGGGTATTTTGTCCCAGCAAGGAGAGAAAAGTAACCGAGACAGAGGCTCAGGTAGTGGATGCAAATCTCTCAGGAACGCCTTCTCCCGGGCCACCAAGCATCATGGAGGTCTTTCAGGAGTACCAGCATTTTCCTTAAAATCGTGTTTCCAGTTCTGCAGTTGACGAGCCCCCTTTCCTCTGACTTCCAGAAGGCCTGCAGCTTTAGAGAAGAGGGTAAGAGTGTGAACATGTGATTTTGGAGAAGATGGGCCTGGAGTCATCAGGAGGAGGGATGGACCTCGAGTCCACACAGCCCCGTCCTGTAACTGCCCACCACTCCTTGCGCGATGAGCAGTCAGAAGCTGACTAGGCTCTGCGGCTCCTCCGTGTCATCCCCTGCTTCTCACTCGGGATCTCCTCCACGTTCTCTGCTACTCGGGGACACCTTCTCCTGCTTCCCAAGGGACAGCGCTGCCACTCATCCCAGTTTCACCTTCACTGTGCCCATCACGGAGAGGACAATCTGCCCACCACCACTACCACTGTCATCGAGCTAATGTGAAGGTTTTCAGGGCGCCCTGTTTTCTTCCCGCACTCCCTGGCCTCCTGCTTCTCCCTTAGCCCCTCGCTTTTCCACCAGTTGACTGGAAACACTCTGAGGACAAAGTCGTCAGCCTTCCTTTCATCTTATGACTAAATCACATTCAGGGGCTTGGAGGACCAGAGAGGAGCAAGAGAAACTGGCACATAGCACCTGGGGCACCAGGCCTACCCGTGGGAGTCTGGAACTGCCAGCTTCTGCTCCCAGCTGACCAGCTGAGGGTCCCCAGGGAAGTCCTCTGGCCACTCCACACCGATGGTGTTTCACCACCTAATGAAACACTTGAGGGTATGGCAGTGAATATCAAAACTTGCCCAAAAACGTGCGTAAAAGACAACTGATTTTTAAGGCAGAGTGAAAAGCTGAGTTGTCAGGCTGGAACATGGTGGAGCATGCCCCATAGTCTCAGCACTTGGGAGGCTGAGGCAGGAGGATTACCTTGACAGCAAGGCCAGCTTGGGCTACATGAGACCAGGTACTCGGGATCTAATGGGGCTCCTCGTCCTCCACCATCGCCCGGGTGATGTCTGACCACCTTGGTCCTCCACCAAGCACAGTGTGGGCTGGTCAGCCAGGACTCCCCTCCTGCTGCGATTTCCTCCCAGGAGCTTTCTGTATACTCACTGCCTGCCCCTTGGCCTCATCAGACCCCACTGGGCAGAGTTGCATTCAGAGCTGAGTGTGTTTCCTCCCCAACTCCAAGTGGTGGCTGTTCCTGCAGCCACAGCTGTGTGACCATCCACAGTGTGCTCCAGAGTGCCTCACCAAGTGGTTTCCTCTTTACATGGCTGTAAGGATTGAACCCAGGGCCTTCCTACTGCCACCCAGCCCCAGCCCTCTCCCAACCCACTTGCCTTCTTATTCTCTTTCAGTTTTTATTTTAAGACTGGGTCTTGCCAAGTCCCTAAGTTACCCTGGCTGGGATCAAACTCTTGATCCTCCTGCCTCAGCCTCCCAGAGTGCTGGGTTATAGGCATGCATGACCACGCCTAGGTGGGAGTTTTCTTTTTTCTCTTTGTGAATAAACAGACCAAACTCTATTCTTTTTTTTTTTTTCCAAACTCTATTTTTGTCTGCACCCGCCACCTCCACGTCTCACCCAGAATCCCCCAGGGGAGTTGGTGACAGCTGGTCCTCGGCATCCTGGGTCATTTCAAGCAACACTAAGGGTGCATGTTGGACTGCAGAGCGGGCCCTGGGCTGAGGCCTCCTTGCAACTTTAATTCCAGAAAGCAGAGAGTGGTTTAAAGCTGTCACTCACTGCACACTACGAGGAGGAAGGCGCCTCTTAGGGTGGAGGGGGAAGGTGCCCCGGTCTCCCAGCTGAGGCGGTGGGTAGCTGGCTTTAAGCCATAGTGGGAAGGACCCACAGCTTTGGCTTGGAGGAGATTTTACATGTGTGCTTTCCTTAGCTGCACATGCTTGCAGTATGGAGCAGTGACTTTCCCATGGGGAGCCGGCCCTCGGGCAGAGTGCAGCTTGTAGATCTGTCCCGCTTCCCTCCCTGCTCCTCTTTCTCTGTCTTCTGTCCCGTCTCCTTGGGGAAAGATCTGTCTCCCTGCTCCCTGGTCGCCCTCTTCTCCTTTGCTTTTAGTTTCCTCTCTCATGGCCGAGAAATTCAGCTGGGGTCTGGGTCTCCGCACATTCATGTCCCTGAGGAGGACACAGAGCCTGGGTGCAGGAAGCTACCAGGGGCGGACATCACCCAGGGACTGGACCGAATTTCCTGTCCCTCCCTTCTCTGAGATCTGAGATCTGAGCCATTTCCCATGCCTGAGAAGCCCCTCAGGGAGAAGCCAGTGTACCCCAGGGAGAAGAGAGCCTCACATGATCCCAGCATCATCCTCACAACCCAGAAAATGGCCAGAAGAGCAGGGGCCATTGTGACTTCTGCCTTTACCTTCAAGAAGTGTCCAGCCTGGGATCCTGCTCTGGACCCATTTAGATGTTTGTGAACTCCAAAACTGTGTTCATATTAACTATAAGAAGTTAATGCTAAGCAATTCTAATAAGGCTGTGCTATGTGCTTTGTAGTGGTCAAATCAGTGAGATATTTTGTCAGATATTCCTATTAAATATTGCAAGAGTAGAGGAAAGAACACACTCTGGGTGTTTGGCTGAGCATATGCACCTCGAGGGTCGGAAGGACGTATGCTCTTGACATTTCTGACATCAGAATATTTTGCAAATTAATTCTAAGCTTGCCACCCTTGGAATAGTATTTTCCTGCCCACATAAATGGTTGCATCCCCAGTGCCAGAGCCCCAATCATGGCACGCACTCACCTGACACACACCATGCCTCTGAGCTTTGAGCCACCCACCCAGGATGTGGTCGGGGTTCCTATCCTAAGTGTTCCATGAGTAAAAGCCTTAAGTGACAGCAGCTGACCTTATGAACTCCCACGGAAGATTCAGTTTTGTGATGCATTCACTAATACCAGAAAAACAATTGTGAGCTTAATATTTAAAAGGTGTCTTTTTCACTATGCAAATACTTCACTGATGGTAATAGTTGTTTAAATTATTTAGCAATGATGTATGCAATTAATAATGCCCCATAAGATAGAAAATGGAAATAGAAGGCAAACAGGGAAATGAATGATATAAACAGACTTGCTGTTATTAAAAATTTACGCTGGACATCCGTGACCTCACAGAGACGTGGATAAGAATGTCCTTGTCTTTTGCTTTCCCGTGTTTGACCCCAGCAAATTAACCCAGTCATGCTCTGGGAAACGTCTGCTTTCCGGAGCATCCCAGTGCCCGTAAAATGAAGTGATGCTCATTTCTGGCCCTTTAAAGGGCCTGAATTTGTCCGAGCTGCCTTTGAAACATTGCCCAATTTTAAAACTCGGTCACTGTGTTCCACTGAGAGAATTTGTGACACTTCTCGCAACTTTATGGCCACTTTCATCCTAAGAGGAATGGTGAGAACACAAATCTGGAATGAGGGCCCCGGGTCCTTCATGGATCCAGCTCCAGTTAAGGCGAATGCCGAGGCCCAGTTCAGGCCTCCCTGCCTCTCGGGGCCCGCAGGACAGCAGGGAAGACTTAGCTCTGGGAGCGCTGCAAACCCTGAGCTCGGCAGCTGCCCATTTAACAGGAGCGCAGTGCAGCCCTGAGCTGGCTGAGTTACAGGCAGCCTGCAGGAGTGACCTTGGCAGACACAATGATCTTGAGTGTCGCTGGTCACTTTAGGGGTGAGGGGGTACATATGGGAAGGTAGAAAACACCGGTCCTCACCTGAATGCATTGCTCAGTGGCTTTGGATTTCTGTTTTTCATTTGCACTGAACCGATTCATCCTTTAATAGCAGTTTCAGACTCAGGTGGTCTGCACACTTTTGACATGTGAAAAAAAAAAATGAAATTCCCAACTGTGAAGAAGGGTGATTGGAAAGCAATTAGAATTGACTACACTTATTTTTCCCTAGGTCAAGCTCATGCCACCTGCTCCCAACGACGACCTGGCCACACTCAGCGAGCTCAATGACGGCAGCCTGCTGTACGAAATTCAGAAGCGCTTCGGGAACGACCAGATCTATGTGAGTGCTTCGGAGGTTGCCTTTCGAGCCACTCTGGCTGGCGCTGTCACCACCCATTAGTGTCACAAGCATTGCAGATAACAGGCTCCGGGGAGCCTGTGTCCATGGCGATGGCTTAGGTTGGATTCCAAGCTCAGGTTCACACTGGCTGTGTCATTAGCATCCCAGGCTTGGGATCAGGTACAAGCTGATACTCAACATACACATGAGTACTCAGCACATGGCAATTTCCTGTTCTGGTGATTGCCGGGCAGGTCCTCGAGAGGCTGGCAGGAAGAGCCAATCGCGTGTAACATGCGGTCCTTCTCTGCGGCTTCGCTCCAGTCTGCCCTCTGGAGGGGGTGAGAAGGACCAGGGAGCACCCCTGCGGCCGGCCTCTCTGTTTGCATGGAAGGGCAAAGTCTTATTGCTCTAAATGATCATGGCTCTATCTATAAAGTAAATAATTCACACAGATTCTGATGATAGGAAACAAAAATATGACTCAGATGCCAAACAGAGTGCAACATTGGTTTACAAGTTTATTCTTGCTTATTTCTTATTTCCTGCAATACTGATGATAATGTAGGTATCCTGAGTTCTCAAAATCTCTCTCTCCTCCTCCTCCTCTCTCTCTCCCCCTCCCTCATCCTCCACCCCTGTTGATTTTCTGTCTCTGGCCCAGACCACCGAGCAATTAAATTAGAATGTCTATCGAGAAATATGATTATACACATACTGTTTTCCTCTCCTGATAATACCCATTTTTCTACTCCACTGAGAAACTGATTAATTTTCATGTAAATGTGACATCTGAAGTTTCCTTAACAAGTAATAAATTGCCAGACACTGATTAGTCTATGAAAATGCAGTAGGGCACCTTAGTGCTTGAGTACATTGCCTGTCATCGTAAATACACTTAGAACTGTGCACTTGCTATCAAAGCTAACGCAACCGAGTCGTGGTCGTGAAGCAGTGAAACCTGACTGCTTAGGCCTCTGTCCCTCCCAGGCACAGCGCCCCCCGGGGTTATGTCATTGCTGGCCTTTTTCCCAGAGTGACTTGGGTTTTTCTGTTTTACTTGTGAAGACAGTGTTGGAAGACTGCAGCGTGGAAGGGCTGGGTTGCTTTGTGCACCTTTACCCCCGCTGCTCCTCCTGTGCCAGCTCCCAAATACCAGTTAGCAGCATCTGAGCATCTCTGCCTGGTGTGGCTCTGCCCCCTCCTCCCTCCTCATCCTCCTCCCTCATCATCCCCTCTCCTCGCTCCACCTTCTCCCCTCTTCTTTTTCATCCTCTTCCTTCCTCATCCTCCCCTCATCATCCTTCTCTCCTCCCTCCTCCCTCCTCATCCTCCCATCCTCCCTCATCATCCTCCCTCTTCCCTCCACCCTCCTCCCTCTTCCCTCTTCATCCTCATCTGTCCTCATCACAGCCTGCCCCGCCCTTCTCCTGGCCCCAGCTTCACAGAAGACCATGTTCTTCCCCTGCCGTCCCGAGGTGGACCGTCGTGGTCTGTGAAGGGAATCTCGAGGCTCCTAGCTTGCCCTTCCCTGTGGCTCTCCTTTACTCCCATGGCTCGGGCCAGAGACCTTCTCACCTGATCCATCTGAGCCTGCATCCCACACTGGGCCTGTCGTGTCCCTGCTCCCTGCACCAGGGTCTCTCACGAGGTTCCTTCCCTGAGCTTTCTTTTCAAATCCATGAAATAGTGAGCTTCGAAGCTCCCGAGCAGACCCCTCTTTTTCATAGTTTCTCCATTTTTCTGCTTCATTCGTCTACGTCTGCAGTGTATCAGGATCGCACTCCTCCTAGGGAGCTGCTGCCTGGGCACCATGTGTCCAGTCACTTTCCATCCTCTGCCTCTCCTCTCCCTCCCCATCTCTCGGTCTCCTTCCTTTTTGCAGAAGACCCCTGTACCTGTTTCCTATCATGTGTTTTATTTTGCTCTTTATTTAGGTTTCTTATACAAGAGAACCCATTTGATATTTAAGCTCATGCATCTGACTTATTTCACTTAACACTGTGGTCTCAAGGTGCCTCCATTTTCCTAACAGATGATTCAACTTTTCCTTCTTTCTGGCACAGTAGTATTCCAAGGCATATACATATCTTTGTTTTCTTTGTCTATTTGTCTAATGATGGACACACGGGCTGCTTCCAAGATTTAGCTGTTAACATTGTGCTGCTGTAAACATGGGTGTGCGTGTGTCCCTGTAACCTGATGCCTTTAACCTTTGGAGGAGGATGTGTAGGAGGAGCATAATCGGTCCAGTGGAATTTCTACTTTTAGTTTTCTGAGGGCCCTCCACACTGATCTCCACAGAAGTTATATGAGTTCACATTGCCAGCAGCCACACAGGGTGTTTCTGCTCTCACAGCCCCACCAGCACAGGTTCTGTTTGGTCCCCTGCTGGTCTCAGGGTCTTGTGAGTGAGAGAACATTCTCTGGCTTCCTGCAAAATCATGACCTTAGCCATGGCCATTGTCATGGCTGGTAACAGGGTCCCCCTGGGGGTTGGTGACATCAGGTACTCTAGTCCTGAGTGGCACCTCTTCCTCCCTGTCTGTCACACCCTGGTTCTCTCTCTCTGCAGTGCCCTGTATTCTTTTCACGACGACCTTCGCCATCTGTACCTGTTCTCTGTCTGGGTCAGGGGAGGTCACGTGTCCTAACTTGCTGAAGCTCTGTGAGCTGTGAACTTGCCACTGCATGGAACGTGTCTTCCCTCCCCATCCCAGCACAGGAGAATTAAAGAGCTCAGTCCTCCAGGGCTGGTTGCTTACATGAGTGCTTGAGGTTACGGTATCTGCATTCACTTCTGATGGATCGGCCTGTAGTCCCAGCACTATGGATTTAACAATAAGCTTTCAGATGTCTGCAGATTGCTGTTGCATGCACATTTTGTTACCAGACTGTAAAGAAAGTAGACATTTTTAGGAACCCTTACTGCAGTTGGATAGTCTGAGTCCGTTGGATTTAACAAGAACTTGGATTTGCATTTTGTGTGGCTTCCTTCTTGATCTTGTTTTTCTAATGATTCATGTTGTAATTTTATAAAAGTATCAGTCCATGATGAACTGGGAGGAAGAGGGGGATCCATCGGCATCCTGCTAAATGCCTGTGCTCACCCGGCCTCTCCATGCCCACCCTCCAGGGCCTGTCGTGAGGGCTGGTGGCCACTCTGTCCTACGCTCAAAGCTACACACCTGACGTGTATCACTGGTTTTTTCTTCCCCATTGTACTTCTGATCCCCTGCACATCCAGGGCCTGCAAAGCCCACTCTCAGGCCCCCGTCTCCGGTCCCTCTCATCTCTCAGTGACACAGCTCCCCCTCAGGCTCCTTGGTGTGGCTGCGTGGTCACTGACGAATCCAGCAAGAGTGTGTGGCCCTTACACCGGGTGCTGCCTGCTTTGGCTTCAGGCCCACGTCCTCCCTTAGGCAGCACCAGCCCCCTGCAGTCCCCCAATGTCCTGCAGACTCGCCACTCTCCTGCAACTCTGTAATTTCCAAGTTTAGACCTGTTAGTGTCTGTTTCCCCTCCTGCACACACATGTGCACACACCCAAGCGTGCACACAGCAGTAGTATGCAATTTCCCAAGGGCCAGGACTTTTGTTTTCTCTGCTACCACACACATGGCACAGAGCAGATGCCCAGTAAATACCACATAAATGAAAGACCGTGTAGACGCCGTGCAGTGTTAGCCTTAGAGGAAAGGTCAGCATTTCTCAGGTCCCGGGCAAATGAGGTGGGGAACAGTGTCCGCTTCTCATGGGAACCAACGAGACGCTTTTGTTGCCTCTCGAGGACCAGGCGAGGTTTATGTGCTTTCACCGCAGCTGTAGTCTTTGGAAACCAAGTGTAAATAGCTGATTGCAAGTTACACAGGATAGCTGGCACCCCCTGTCGCCCCTCCTGCTGATGTGCCACTCGGTGACAGCTGGAAGGGGAGCTGTCATGTCATTGGCTGACCCCACCTTCACTTGAAGGGATTTGAAACCCCATGAGTAGACTCTTCTTCCCAGCTCCTGCCGTTGTGTGCTCTGCTGCTCATTGGAATGCCTGGCCCTGGGTTCCATGTCTCTACCCAGCTCCGAGAGACTGTGGAGGGCACACGCCGAGTGCCAGCTTCTGGAAGCAGGGGAACGTATTAGATCACTGAGGTGAAGTCAGGCATGGCCGTGGTTACTGGGATCCCTACATTTAGGAGGCTGAGGCAGAAGGATCCATGTGAGTCCACGCCCAGCCTAGGCTGCACAGTGAGTTGAAAGCCAGCCTGAACTGCATAGTGAGACCTTGTCCCAAAAGAAATACAAAAGAATGATGAGGTAAAGAAAAATCTCTGGGCTCCTTCAATTTAAAACTTCCCTTTAGCAAAGAGCTTCTTCCGTTTCTGTAGATTCATATTTTATGATTTGTCAATGACTTTGACTTTATCATTAATTATTTAGGATTAATGATTTTTGGGTCCTGCTTAAGACATTTTATAAATTCTTTTTGTTTATCACAACATTTGTTTTCGAAGACCTTCTTTGACTCTTGCAGTAAATTAATCCGGTATAAAAACGTTCCTCCAGAGACAAGTGAGTGCCACAGAATTCTTCCCGTTAGTCTTAGACCCTCTCTCTTCACCAGCAGATCCTGAGCTCTATCTCGGTCTGCCCTCCCACCTCAGTTTCCCTTTCTGAAACTCAGCGGTGCTTTTCAGATGCTGCAGAGGTAATGTGCCTCTTCTGTGACACTCATCTCTGCCTGCTGGGGCTCAGCGGGGTCCTATTTGAGAGCTCACCTGTGTCTCTGGCAGCTTCGGAGTCCACCACGAATGGCGGAGCCCTTCCCCCAGCACTCAGCAGTCATGGCAAAGGATTCTGGGTCCTGGACTGTGAATCATTTTGTTTAATTATTTTTTCATGCCTATATCTTGTAATTTGAACCACTACTTTGAAGAGAACTATGTGCAATGTATTAGCCAGTGTTAATCTCTATTATTTTGTTTTGAATTTCTGTGTCATAGCTTTAATTCTTTTTTCATGTTATAAATAATCAAACAAATAAATTGAGCGACCTCTGGATTAATCCACCTTTTGGTCATTGTGAATAACATAAGTAGGCTTAGACCTCTTTGGGGGGTGCTCCCATAAAAGCATTTATGTGGGGTAACATACACTAGTATCCCTGTGGGGTGTCTCCCTAGGGTGGACTTCAGCACCCTAAAATCCACTCAGCTTCAGTGGAAGCAGCCAGATGGTTTTTAGGGTGACCATATGATTTGTTTTATTAGAGTTTTTTCAAACTCTGGCCGTCCCAACCTCTGTGCTGCATACCTCACGGTGGCTTTAGTCCGTGCTCCTCTGATACTAAGGAGGACTCTGGCAGGTGCTCAGTGTTCCTTTGATTACCTCCCTCCATGAACAGCTGACTCAAGTGCATCAGCATTCTGGAAAGAGAAGAAGTTGAATTTTCCCTCTTGGCGTGGAGGAGTCTGTCCATCCAGGTGCACATCTTGGGAGCACTTTCTTCCCTGTCTTGTTCTCCTCCTGTGGTGTCTGGGGGTGGAAAGAAGTTTGCGATTTTTGCAAATTCTTTAGGGTTAATGATTTTTACGTCCTGCCTGAAAAATCTTGACCTTGGCCATTAGGGTGTTCTCATGTATTTTCTTCTTGAAGTTTGATTGCTTTAATTTTATGTTCGAGGTGTGTCATCCACATCACACTGATTCCACAGCAGTGACAGAGGGGCCCTGGAGTAATGCATGTTTGCTCATTTTGTCTCCATGGCATTGTGATGGCAGCTTCACTGTGGATTAATGTCGTGGGGTGGAGTTCTTTCTAGTATTTGCTTTCTGTTATATTCATTTGTTTGTCCTTAAATAGACACTGAAATACCTCAACCATCAGAGCTATTTAATGCATCTTGATATATAGCAAGTTCTCTTAACTCTGCTTCAAAATGCCCTAGCAAATCTTCATTTTTAGACACCGATATATATTCTAAAGTCAATTAGCAATTTCAATAGGATTTTCATTGGAATTACATCAGATACACAGATTAAATGGGGATATTTAAGATTTTTACATCTTGCTTTCCACATTATGGACTGTTAGTTCTTCTCTGAGTTATCAGCTTCTCTGGTGTATTTTTTATTTTTTGTGTAAGAAATATAAGCCATATGTATTAAACCTATTTCTAGACATTTTTTATTCAAGGTTACTTTCTTATTATAAGAAGAAAACTTCAATTTTTTAATTGTTTATGTGTGGTATACAGAGAGGAATAATTCTGGTTTACATGTTTGCCTTTTCATTATCAAATTTGCTAAGTTCATAATAAATATTTATTGGGGAAACACTCATCCCTTTTTTTTTTTTTTTTTGTATTCAGCAAGTCAGTACTTATTTCTTATCGTTAAACCTGCGTCCCTTCTCTTCTCTCCTCCTTGTGTGACTGTCTGTAGGGAAGGGCTGGAGGCTGAGTTCCGGGAGCCTTTCCCTTTCAGCCCGTTTCCTCACTAGTGCTCCAGCTGCTGCGCCCTCTGCCCTCACTTCCCCCCACTGAGGAAGCTGTTCCCTTCGCGCATCTGGAACCCTCTCTGTGATTACATCAAGGCCCTGCAGTGAATGCCGTTAGGGTTTTTCCTCCACTCAGGAAGAGGGGTGGCGGACCTTTTTAGCAATAGTAATCAGAGGTGCTGGTGTTTGACCTTTTAAAAAAATTTTAAAAGGCAAAACGGAAAAAGGGCAGAAATTATGCAGAATTTTAAAAAGCAGTAAGAAATCAACACTAGTTAATACATTGCAGTGTCATCTTAGAAGTAGCTGATCTAGGCATAAAAATGATCAGATAATCAAACAGTGACAGCATGAACTGTTCTTTTTGATGAAGTAACAGAGCTCGGTAGTACAGTTCTCCGTCTTGCACACATACACACACACACGGTTATATATAATACCCAGGTACACAGAATCTTCTCCGTTCCTCCTTTTCTTCTTTCCCCTACCCTAGGTGTTCTGTCCTTTTGAGCACTTTCCTTCCCTTTCCTCTTCATCTGTTTTTGCCTAATTTGGTGTTGATTTCATAAACTCCTAGAAATCCACACACTTCGCTCACTCACGGTCTCCCCTCTTTTCCCAAGTGTGCGCTTTCAACTACCACTTCATAGCAAGCACGCTTTTAGTTTTTTTATCTCAGAGGATATAACATGCTGTAATGAAAATAATTTATTATTTGCACTTTTATTTTTTCTCCACTCCCAGGTTACTAGCAGATATATTGTATGTTTCAGATATATTGTAATGTTTGGTGGTTATTTTAGCACCTGGTATTTCTGTACTTTTAATTAAATGACAGTTTTTAGCAGATTTATTTTTATTGTGTGTGCTTACGCGGGGTTCTCCATGTTGTTCTGGTCTACACACACATGCCTGTATGATCATTGCATTTAAGAAAATTATCATATCATTCACCTCAACTCATTTTTCCTTCTGTAGTAAAAGTCCCTAAACTTCACCTAGTTTCCAGTACATAGTAAAGTTACCTTAAATGCTGTCTTGATCGGAGAGTAGTACACTTCATGTACTAAAGCCCTCTAAATATAACTGAACTTACCTGTGTTCAAATTAAAGGAATGCTTCTTCCAGAAGCAGGATGGGTCAAACTGGTGATTGTTTCAGAACCTTCTGTGCTTATTCTGTAAATTTCTAAGGCAAGCTGTGAAGTTCCTCACCACCATGGTGGACATGAGTTTCCCCCTCACAGCTCTGCCTTTGGGACATGTGATTGAGTCGGGCTTTATTCCCATGGAAATGTGTGATCCATGTGTCTTCCTAATGGATGTGCCAATTTGACACTGAGAAAAGTCCTTAGATTCCTGGTACTGCTTCCTAAATTAGATTTTCTCTGTGCTGAGGAACACCGTCATTACCTCTCCTGCTGACGTTGTTGTTTGCCTGTGTCTCACCTCATCCTTTTATTTTCAGGTTGTCTTACTCTTTACATTGCAGGTTTTTTTTTACTTTAATCAGTACATGTTTGCAGTACATAGCAATTCCATTCACTGCAGGAAATTCATTCATGCACAAAACTCGTTTCATTTCTTACCCCTCCAACAACTTTTATTTTGCCAGCATTAGATTTATTTATCGTGTAAGACCTTATAAAGTTAATCACCACATATACAGATTGAGTTTCACCTGTTTAGTATTTTAATCTAGTTCACAATACTTGTCTTTAAAATATTTAGTCACTTTACATTTGCTGTACTTGCTGGTATGTTTGGGCTTAAATCTATTATTTTATCATTTATCCATTTGCTTTTTGTGTTTTTCTATCTCTTTACTAAATTTTTGTTAACGAATTACTCTTTCTTTGTGCTTTAATAATATTTTAGATTTGTTTTCTCATTACAGCAACATGGAACCCCTGCTTCATTTACTTCTCCCCATGTGCTTGTCATATGTTTAAATTCTACATTTTTTATTCAGGCTGCTTCTGACAAAATCCATATCAGACAAACACTTAGAATTTGACCATTTCACTTGTTATATGTTTAGTGTAACAGAATCTATTGGTTTTAATTAATTTAACATTTATATTTCTTTACATTATCTGAAAAAATGTTGAAAATATTACAGCATGATTTTTACGCATTCATTATATTTGCCAGAATGAGTTTGCAATTAAGTCATTTTTAATTTTTAGAGCACTGTGTCTATGGCTAATGAGTAATTTACACCTTTTCTTAACAGACTTTCATCGGGGACATCCTCCTGCTGGTCAACCCATTCAAGGAACTCCCAATTTATTCTACTGTGGTGAGTGTGAATTTTACATCATCCAGTCACGTGGAGTAGCATCCACTAGGCGCGCAGATTTCTAGCCGAGCAACACCTCAGAAGAGACAAATGGAACAATAATTAAAGCCACACTTCTGAGTAAAGTACGAAATTCTTTGGAGTCACATGAGTTAGTTTACTTTGTTCCAGGGAAACTTTGAAAATCAGTTATTTTGTCAAAAATATTCTTTGCACTTAAAATATGTACTTTTGGTGTGATCATTCATTAGACAGACTAAAATTAAACAGCGCAGGACTGCCTTTCCTTACACCCTTGACAAACCTAAAACCAGCTGGTGCCAGCTGTTACTTGACCTGGGCCTTATATCCGAGGTTCCTGTCTTTGAAAAGCAGGGGGAACAGGGCAGAGCACCGCAGGAGCCCCCCTCCCAGAGGATCAGCGAATTTTAGGTATGAGGCCCTCCAAATTGAGAGGCAAATTGCATGGAGGAAGATATCCCAGCTAGCTGAAAATATGTCATGATTTTCAATAATAATAAATCACAATGCTACTGGATAGCGTGGGAGCTGTCTGCTCTTTGTGTACCCAGGAGATGGTCCGCTTGTCAGTCAGAAGTCCTAATACAGCGCAGGTGCATGGCACAGGGCAGCCAGGGAGGAGATACACAGTCCTGCAGCATGAGCACTCCCACTGATACTGAGCAATCCAGAGACACAGAGAGACAGAGACAGGGACAGAGACAGAGACAGAGACAGGAAACTCTCTCTATGCCTTCAAAGTATCAAACACTTCTCCCAGGCATAGCTCATGAAAACAAGAGAGACCTCACACCCACCCTTCAGCCTTCATTCCAAAGTGCAATTCCACATGCCCTTGAAACTGACGTGAAACTTTCCCTCTATCATCCTCTCTCCATCCCTCCTCTGGACCTCAGCATGGGTAATTTGTCCCTGGGAAGGGACACGAGTGAGAAATCTCCATAACCATTCCAGAATTTGTAACCGAGGATTCGCATTCACCTGTGCTGAGGTTACTAAAAAGTGTGGAGGAAAACTCAGCGCTGTGTCTGTCACTTTGCGGGGGTGACTGATATTTCTGTAACTTTTAGTATGGTAGTGTATCAGTATTGTGTGGGGTACAATGTTAAATGATTCTTTTCATGTCATTTATATAAAGCACTCATGCGCTTAAAGCCATTAGGCAGAGCAGGAAATGGAGTATTAGACGTGTCCTCCATGGTTTTGCGTGTAGCGGAGAAGTACAGGAGGAAGGGGATTGTGATGCTATATAAAATCCACTTTTGTGGCCAGGCGTGATGGTGCACACCTGTAATCCCAGCTATGACCCAGACTGAGGCAGACAGATCGCAAGGTGGAGGTCAACCTGAGTAATTTATAGGGAGCTGATTCAAAATAAAATTTAAGAAGTGCTGGGTTCAATAGCCACTGGCAAAAAACAAAACCAAAAATATCCTCTTTTGTGGATATGTCAGTCTAATTATTGACAGAATTTTGGTCTGTTTGAGTGAGAATCATGTTATCGTGAGGACTCTCACATGTGCAGTTAGATAACATCTACTCTTTGGTTGTTGGGTGTAAACCTAACAAAGAAATCAGTGGGTCAAAGTGTATACATACATTCAGCTTTGAGAACTATCAACAATTTTCCAAATTGTGCCAATTCCTCTTTCCCCCAGTAGATTCCCGAAATTCTACTTGCTTCTTCCCTGGGCTAAATTCCTTCTGTGTGTTTGTGTATCTTTCTTCTGGGTATAGCTAGTGGGATCTTGGTAGTGTTTTGTAGTTCTCTAATGAGCAGTGGAACTGGCCACATTTTCACATCATTTTTGTCCAACGTCCACTGCTTTTGTGAAGTGTCCATTTAAAATTGTCCAATGAAAAGTATGGCTACTCTGATGTCCTTTTCCTTCATGATTTGAAGAGGATTTAAATGTTCCAGAGTCGCCATGTATATGGAAAACACCTGGCAAGATACAGGGTCAGGATTCACTTGTTTCCTTTATGTGCACCAGTTAGAAGCAAACCTGTTTTTTAGAAAGAGTGCTACATCACGGCTTCCTGCTTTTGTGTGAATCAGGTCACCCAGCACGAAAGGTTCCATTCCTACAATTCTTGCTCTGCCCCACTGGTCCATGGTGAGACATGGCGACCCCATGAGCTCAGTTCCTCCACATCTTGATTTTGGAACTGGCTGGGATCATTTGTGTTTCCTTTACGGTTCAGAATCTGCTCACCAGTTCCCTGAGATGAGGAGTGCAGAATTTCCAGGGATTTTGAATTTTATTGCATTAAATTTAGGAACAGCTGAACACTCTTATAAACATTTCTAAATACACTCGTTTATTTAGCTCTGTGAAATTCCTCTCAATGGATAATCCTCTTTTTGCTTTCTGTGAGATTTCCTTCTCTCTAACCTTGTCCTGCCTTTCCTTTTTCTTCGGGATAAGGTAACTAGAGTATTACATTGAACACAAACTGTAATTTAGTATAAAAGAAGACAGTTTTCCTACTTTCAGAGTCAACTTTCAGTAATTATACTTTAATTATGGAGATGGTTGTAAATCTATCATATTAAGGAAACTCCATTTCTAAGACTTTAATGATTTTCTCTGTAATTAAGGATTTTGAATTTTATCCTTTTTGTTTTGTGCATTTGAAATGATCATTTTCTCCTTTATTATTCTATTTGTGGGTTACATTTCCTGATTTTCAAATGTCAAATTACCCTCTCATTTTTATGTTTTATTGTTTTCTTTATAAAACTGGATTCTACTAGAGAACAATTTAAAATTCTTACAGCTATGTTCATGACAGATGCCAGCGGCTAATTTCTCTTTTAGTGTTTTATCAGTCCTTCATGTCTAAATTAAGCTTGCTCCATAAAAGGAACTTGAAAATGTTTTCCACTTTCTAACCTCTAGGAAAGTTTGTGCACATCTAGCCTTGCTTTTTCTCAAATTAATAAAAGAATGTACCATGGGAGCCGCTGGGCTTTGTAGGAGGATTTACAGTCTATATTCAACTCGTTCGTCCTACGTAGCTCTCTTTACATTTCTGTTTCTACTCATTAGTTTTTAATAATTGTGTTTCAAAGAATTAAGTTAATTATATTTTATCTTCATAGTTTTTAACATAGAATTATTCATATTCCTGTTTACTTATTAACATTTGTAGAATTTTGAATAATTCCTTTTGTTTCCATGTGCCAGTAATTTGAGCATTTTGGCTTGTTAAAATCAGTATCCAGTGAGTTTATTAATTGTAACACTCTTTTCAAGGAAAAATTTTTTGATTTAGTTTTTGTTGCATGTTTCTTCTTTGACCAACTGACTTTTGTTTTTACCTTTATTCTTTTCTTCTAATTAATTTTCATAAATACATCATTCATGTACTGCCTTTTCTAAAATAAGTATTAGATGTTTTTATTTTGCTTGAAGCACAGATTTACTGAACTATAGATGGTTGATATTTCTCTAGTTAATTATCGTTGACTTAAATCATTTTATTTCTATTTGTGATTTATTTTTTTTGTACTCCTATAAAATATAAACTATTATTTTTTCTGTCCCCTACTCGTTAGCTTTGACCTATAAGCTGGGTTTATTGGCCTACTGGGTTATAGATTCTCTCTTTGCGCTTTTGAATCCACTAACAAAATTGTCTACTAATTGCAGATGTTAGTAATGTTTTGTTTTGTGTTTTTCTTTCCAGTACTAAATTTTCCTTGTTATACTGTTGAAGATTCCTGTTCTTTGGTGAGATTCTTTATCATGCCATCTATCTCCATGTCAATCAAGATTACTTTAAGTTCCATGTCTGAGCACCATAAATGGGGCTCTTTATCTGCTGTGAGTGTGCACTCAGGTGCCTCAGATCCTATGAAATGGAAATTTTTGATTGACGATTGAATATTCCGTATTAAAATTTTGTCACGGCCAAGCTGATGATGTCTTTTTCTGAAGAAGAATCAACCTATTTTGCTCCTGGTGGGCAAGTGACCCGCAGGGGTGTGGTCCCATCTTCCTGTTCCCTGAGCCACAGCCGGTCCAGGCCCCAGGTGAGAAGCTGGCTTGCTGTCCCCGTGGCTTTGCTCCTCTACTGAGCCCCAAACTGGAGCATGGCTGTGTCTCCTCGGCACTGTAAACTGCTGAGATCTGTGCTAGCTTTCTCAGCGCTGACCGTCTGCTTCCTGTGTGGCCGCTAGCCTTGGCATGTCTGCTGGCAAAGCCTGCTGGCTCCCTGCGTTTGGGTTTCTCCAACACCTTGGTCCTTAAATCTTAGCTACTGCTCTGGTGATCTTCTGAGGCCTTCAATTGGATGCTTAATTCAGCACGGTTTTGTAGCTACCCATGGGTAACAGAATGGATCTGATACCAGCCTCCACATTAGAGCTCCAGGGTGGGGGAGGCCATGTCTATTTCCATTGCATCGGTGTCAGAAAATCAGAAGATCATTTGCCTAGCAATCCTTTAGCCAGCTATTGACTTCTTATCCGTTTTTATTTAATTCCACCTCTGCCTTCTGGGGGTGGAGTGGGGTGCAGAGAAGCAGCATAAAAATGGGCATGTGCTGTATAAAATTAGCAGGTTTTGCTCCTGGCTTGTATTTATGCTGTCACGGGTGATTGTGGAGTTCAGGGAATTTCATGGTGACACAGCATCAACTCTGAATAACCTACAAAAATAACTCCAATGTGGATTCTTCCGTGAACACAAAGGTCAGATTCTCAGCCTAGGTACACAAAATAAGCCGTTAGAGTTTGCTCTTACTGCACTATATGGTACCTTACGATGGCAAAATCTAGTACTTTGTGGTTTGTCTTGAAGGTGTCGATAACATGATAACTTTATGTCTTCAAATAATATGTTGTGTTTGCAGTTTTTCAGAAATATTTAATTTCAGAGAAAAGAACAGGCCTAGTAAGAGGCATGTTTCTTTATTAATATATAAATACAGTGAACTACATTGGAATGATCGCCAAGTAGTGTATTAGAACT